GTCACTTAAAATTTCATGTTCGTCAATAAACCGGATTGTAATGAAACATAAGTGGCGTCTCTTTAAATATCACCAGGTTCAAAATCTGAAACCTCACGATTCACCTGTACGAGTGGAATTCTGCGAATGGTTTCTTATCAAGATACAGGAGGACCCTGAGTTGATGTAGAACGTGATATGGACAGATGAAGCCAAATTTGCCAAGAACGGTATGTACAACCGCCACAATAGTCATTTTGGAGCAGCAGAAAATCCAATGTTTTTTGTGCAATAAAGGAAGACCGAATTTTATGCTTATATTTTTATGAAGAGAATTTAAATAGCGATAGATATTCGCATATAATTATGAATGTGGTTGGTGAATCCATAAGACATGTTTCTGAACAATACCGTTTTAAGTTATGGTATCCGATGGATGGAGCTCCTGCAGCCTTTGCTGGGTTGTTGAATGGGATGTTCGAAGATCAGTGGCTTTGCTACAATGGGCCATTTAAATTTTCTCCTCGCTCTCCAGACCTCTGACGCCACTGGACTTCTTCATCTGGGGATATATCAAAGAAAATGTTTATGCGGATCCTGCGGTTTTTTTTCCACCGTAGTGTGCGCTGGTCAGGCCTTATCCCCCAAAACCCCGATACATTCGGGAGGGCGCGCCAGCATTATCAACCAATGACCACTCTCCACACCGTGTGGTAAGTGATCATTGGGTCCAAGAATCATGTGCCCTGAGCAAGCGCAGTGAGCCAAGAATGACAGCCTTCTGCATCTGTGCGGCTAAGATTTCTGCCTTAGTGCGGCAAGCCGGTATGATTTTAAGATTCGAGAGTAGAGAGGACATCATTCCACCAAGGACTCCAATAATCAGAACAACCATTTTGACAGAGTGATCTGGATAGAGTCTGCGGGGTTCGAAGAGGAAATCTCAATATTTTATCCGTTTTTCCTCCTCTTTTCTGACGATATTCGTCTCGCCAGGAGCTGAAAACTCCACGACCAATAGTCTGGTGGTCGGGAAGGACTACATCATATTATTATTATTATTATTACTATGAAATGTCAAACGCTGGCAAATCCACTCGTGTCAGATATTTATGGATGCGCAGTATTCCTAAAAAATAAAACTGTGAGACACAAACATCAAATGTCCCGACAAGAGGGAAACTATACTGGGTCTTTCAGCACTATACTTGTGATACTACTATGACCACAGTTCAAACATTTCCTATTTCTCCGAGAATTTTTAANCATACTAAGCTATTTTTTCATTCAACCAAGCATACATTAATTCTAAAACGATTTTCAGGAAACTGTTGAAAAATAAACTGAAACGGGAAATTTCGTAAAGAACTTTTTTGGTTCCTCAATTTAAAAATAATTGTTTATTCAGGCAGTTTTTTTTCAAATCTATATGTGAAAAATAATGAAGAAAGCTGTTTCGTAATTTCTTGGAAATTATTATAGTTGGTGCCGACCTGATAAGAGAAGGATCTTTCAAATTGTTTGGATTTATGCTGTGGGACAGAATATTCATTTCGATTTTTGTCATGTGTACCATATCCATATGTCAACTTCTTTAAAAGATATTGAGGTTGTTGTTTTACTCTGAGGTTATAAACAATGTTAGTCAGATGTAATTCTCTTCTGTTGAACATTTTTAGTCACCCAATCTGATCTATTAAAGGAGATACATGATCTCTCTGAATCTGAGAAACTGTTCGAATAAAGTTTTTCAAGAATTCATGAGCTTAACGTATGTGTAAGTTGACATGTAATTGAAAGCGTAATTTCTAGTCAATATTGAGTCCCAAACATTTAATTTCATCGCTACATTCAATGTCGTGATTTTCGATCATAATTTCGATATTATCTATGGCCCTCTGTCTGTCTTTAGAATTCCCAAATATAATACAAGACGATTCGTTGGGATTCATGTTCAAACAATGATTTCTAGAAATATCCATCACGTATTTTGGTGTCAAAAAACTGCCAATTTACGAAATTTGGTGGGACCAAAACATGCATGGTCATCCTTTTTTGATTCTTCAGAAATAGAAATAAAAATGGAAAGTTATGAAAAATATAATCTTTAATCAGAAATGACACTTTTATTGATATATTGATCATGTAAAACTATCATGCAACCGTCTATATATATGCAAAGTTTTGTATAATCAACCTGGAATTATTGAAATCGTAGATATATGCGTGACCCCGCTCGTGTAGTAATATTTTGATCAAAGTTCATACAGAGCGGTCAATAAATATTGACTCTTGGTTTTTTACGGTAGAATAATTTTAATATCGAACGAGAATAATTTTTATCGATTTTCTTTGGGTGATTTTACTTTCCACAATCTAAAAAATATGAAAATTTCAATGGATAACTTTATACACGTGTAGAAAGGGCAAACTTTTTGATTTTCAATGATTTTGTTAAATTTTCCTTTCAAATTATGTTTTAGGCAATTTTGAAATACATCAAAAACTGCCAATTCACGGGATTTGCCAGGAAACATGCATAATCATCCTCTTTTGATTCTACAAAAGTAGAAAATGAAATGGAAAATTATTAAAAATATAATTTTCAATCTGACATAACATTTTGTAAATTTTCATATTTCGGTTTGATCGTCTGAGAAAAATAAAAAATTATCAACAATGTAATATCCAAAATATTTATTAGATTCTGATACAGAATTATATTATTCTTTGCTGGTAAAAATTCAACAAAACAATTGCGGTCCACTGTTTGAAAGTTAATTTGATGTTTTTTTCGACATTCAGTAGTCCATATATATGCAAAATTTTTGTATAGGAGAAATATGAGTGAGGCTCTGCGAAAATTTGACTTATTTTTGTTTTGAACGGAAGTAGAATATGTGTTTTTATCTTTAAAGATTGAATAAGCGTGTTTTTTCATAGATCTTTGAATCCCCTCTTCTTACTGTCAAATATTCAGTGGATATCTCAAAAGTCCGTTCAATTCTTCATTTCTGTTGTTTTCTCATAACTATTTTATGATTTTTCTTCACAGTTTTTTTGTTAGGGTTGAAATATAAATATTAACAAAGATACAGGTTCCTAGAACATAATTATAATTCCCAAAAACTATCAATAATCAACTGAGTAAGTGTAACTGGTAACCCAAAAACACACATGATCTTTCTTTTTTAATTTCACAAAAAAAAAAATTATGGAATGTTTTTATTGAAACTACTATTTTCGTTTTATTTTAAATCTAATTTTTCGCAATGAATTTTCAGAAAATTTGCAAAAAAGTTCGCAAAAGAAAGTCGAAATATGGTTAATATCAATAAAATTAAATTTAATCCTAAAAATTTTCAGAATATAGAAAAGTTTATCAGAAAATGAGGTCATATATATCCATCTCAGACGAGCCAACCCGTATATTTCTTATCCCATAGTGAGTGGAAAAATTTGCCGAAACACGTCGAATGATTTTGTTTGGGGGACATCTTTTGACGTATATTTCGGCTTGAACGAGATATAATTGTGTTATCCTTATGCTTACAATGAAAAAAATCAAATCTGCGTGTTTAAATCCAATGTTCAAATTGTCCTCTATTGACTTCCATACAATGATACTTTCTCTCAAACTAATAAATAAAAAAACAACAAAACATATGGTGTACACATTGCAAGAACGTGTTGAGCTGGTTAGCCTTTATTACCAAAAACAAAATTGTGCCCGAGCGACTGTAAGGTTATTTAACCAAAACCATCCTGAACGTAGCGTCCGCCATAAGTACGTACTGGAATTGATTTCAAAATTTGTGGAGATGGGTTCAATAATGAATAAAAAAAGGGCACCCATTGGAATTGTGAATGATGAAGGAGCAGGTGTGGCGTTATTGGGACATGTCCAACTTATGTCAAAGACGCAGTCTGTACGACAACTTTCTGCAGTTTCCGGTATTAGTCATTCTAACATTTTCAGAATTTTACATAGACACAAGTTCCATACGTACAAAATTGAATTAATTCATGAATTAAATGATGATGATTGGGATCGAAGGCAAGAGTTTTGCGAAATTATAGCCGAGCGTATCAACAATAACCCAAATTTCTTGTACAGTGTTTGCTGACGAATGCACTTTTTTACTTAATGGAGAGGTTAACCGGCATAACTGCAGAATTTGGAGCGATACAAATCCTCATGTATTTCGAGAAGCTAACAGTCAATATCCAGAAAAGCTAAACGTTTGGGAAGGAATTTTGGGAGACCACCTAATTGGACCTCTGTTTATTACTGGTAATTTAACTGGCGAACGTTATCTTGAAATGCTGGAAAATGCGATTGATCCGTTAATAACTGAACAATTAGAAAACGATCCTCTACTACTTGAACAACAATTGCATTTCCGGGGCTCCTCCGCACTACGCCACACCAGTTCGCCAATACCTCAATTTGCAATACCCGGGTCGTTGGATTGGAAGAAGAGGTCCTATGAAGTGGCCTGCCCGATCTCCTGACCTGAACCCCTTTAGACTTCTTCTTGTGGAGACATCCCAAGAGTTTTGTGACTCACCCTGAAAATTTGGACGAACTACGCCAAAGAATTGTGAATGAGTGTCGTCAAATAACTCCAATTATGCTGAACCATGTCAGAGAAGGTTTTCAGTCAAGATTTGGAAGTCTGGAAGTTTGGAGGTCAATGGAGGACAATTTGAACATTTGATTTAAACACGCAGATTTGATTTTTTTGATTGCAAGCATGATGATAACCAAATTATCCAAGGTGACTCATTCGAGCTGCAAAATAGATTTTTGGCGAAAACGGTTCATCAAATTTACGTTTTTCATACACCGTTGTAAAGAGGCTTCCAAGACCTTTCAAATAAAGTATCTTCCCTATTCAAGTTTGAGGGGTTGAAGAGCCCTGTATTAGGGGGTTGCTCGTTCGAGACTAAAATATACGTCGATAGATATCCCCCAAACAAAATCATTCGACGTGTTTCGGGAAGTTTTTCCACCCACTATGGGACAAGAAATATACGAGGTGGCTAGTCTGAGATGGAACACTCTGTATGATGAGGAACGAGCAAATGAATACATTTTCCACAAATATCAAAGTGGTGATAAAACCACATATTTATCCTCAGAAGTAATTATATGGGCATATAAACGGGAACCAGTACATTCACAGAAATAGATTCTGAGCTACTTAAATTTTTTCAGTTTTTCATCCACAATTCAACATTAATCAGTTTGTAGAAGGTCAATTGTATTCGCGAAGGTATGTTTATAATTTTTGGTGAAGGAGCTAGTGTTAAAGTAACATCGGCGGAATATAATTTATAAATTAAAATCTTCGACAAATTTACACATAGAAATTATTTGAATGAGTCTCTTGAGAATACAGAAACATCTGATATTCCATAATGTATTAATGCATTGATCAGAAATCGTTAACAAGACCCACATTTTTTATATCAAGATGGAAAAGTAGGAAACCAGAACCTTTCTTTCACAAAAAGTAAAAATATTATACAGTTCAATAAGTTATTGACATTAAGGAAAAGCCAATGTCATAACTTTTTCTGGCTCAATGTAGCTAAGGGAATGGTTTTATGTAGCTAAGGGAATGGCTTTTGTTGAAACGAATAAAGTAAGTTTCAGTAAATGCCTCTTTAATTTTGATTCTATTGTTCTTTCTTCAATTATTCAATGCAAAAAATAGTTTTTCAAAATTTGGGGGTGTTTTTCCAAAGGAAATCCAAACACTACAAAAAATCTCGTTATATATGAGCATTAGCACTTGGTGAATAAAAAAAGGTAAATGATGGATTTAGAAAACAACGAAAGAACCACTTTTTTATCGTTATGGCAATGATCTGCCGATAGAACTTAGTAATTTATTGAATTTTTTTGTGAATCTTCCACACGAATTTTTCATTGCTGGTATTTAATTCATTATTTTCCTCAATTACATTTTTTCACAAAAATGGAAAAACATTCGTTATATGAGCTTTCAGTTTAACATTCGAAAAATACTATAAGGAATGAATTTCTCTTCGAAATTCGATGAATAATTTTGAATGTATTAGTTATGAATGTGATTCAAAATTTCTCTTTCATAATTGTAAAAGTCACACTGGAGAAACTGATGAATTTCACGACAATTTGTGAATTGTTGAACAGTTATTGTACAAAAAAAATATTTGATGAAACGTAAATAGTTTTTAATCAGTAAATTTTGTCAGTCATAATAGCACCCGGAACATTATCAATAACTGAAAGTGTTTATTTCAGCACTTTCATCAGAACTATTATTACAATTATGTGCAGTTGAAGAGTTTTGATTACAATATAATCACTTTAATTTAATTTCTTTGAACTTTATAATGCTGTCTTCATATACCTTGCGAAAAAATTCCAGTCGTAAAATAGATGACGATTAAATATAACTGCATACTAAGTTGAAGTATAAAACACATTTTCAATAACCCAGCGATAAGTTCAAGGAAGAATCATATTTTGAAATCATTCAGTGGTCAATGAGAACAAGTATGCAAATCAAATCTGTTAGGTTCATCCATATTCGTCTGATATTATCATCTCAATATTGAGCGAAAATAGATTTGATGGGTTATGGAAACCACTTTTTCTGCCACGGAAATGGAATATACTGGGTGAGAGCTGAAAGTCTCTTCGTTGAAATAAATTCAAATGAATGCCTCCCAAATTCATGGATTGTTTGATGCATTCATTTTGCTTTTGAATGCTTCATTGGAAACTGTTTTTCCACAAAATGATTCAGTATCTATAATTAGTAGATATTTTTTGATGTCACAAATACAATTTTACTCCACTCTTGAATAAAAAATTCAAAGCGTTCATTCATAAGTCTTCAATATGGTGGTTATCATTCTTGGATCTAGGGTCAAAGATAAAGCTCCTACTGGCTCATTACTAGTTTCTAGGTATACTTTCTCTAGTCGATTTTTTCTAGAACCCTTGTGAAATTTCAGCTATTCTTTGAAATACAATTAGGTATATTATACAGCTTCCAAAATTAGTTTTTTTCAACGATTTATTTCAATTCAACAATATATTCCAACAGAACGCAGTTAAAAATTTAGTGACATTTTATTCTTCTTCCATAAATTTTGGTAGTATTTTCCCATTTTGAAGATGCGACTCATCATACTTTTCAACAACATTTGTTCCATTGGTTGTCCATTGACAGGCATTGAATTCTTGAATTCTCATATGCTTACTTCTACACGTTTTATTAGGTATTCATGTAAATTTTGTTATATAATGTTTCTCATTATCAGTTTTATCAAAAGTACACTTATTCATATTCACTGACATGTTTTATTTGCTATAATTGTAACATCATTTTTGACAGGAACAACAGTAAGTTGTTGTTTCTGGAATTCCAATTTTCATTCGCGTAACATTCATTATTACTTTTTCCTGAAGATGGTAATAAACATTATCGAAATATTGGAATAACTTATGACAAGTCATAAACATCCATTCTGATAATACATCCTGACTCTCGAACACATCGTAGATCAAATACCCTCTCTCGGATACTATAACCAACTCTATGACCAAAGCACTTAATGAACTTTCATTCTGCTTAGGTTGCCGCTGCCTTGGTCTCCCTATCTCAGGGTCTCCCTCAGTACAATTATCCAGCACCCTCTCGGCTCCCAAGCGGAAGTTACGGTGCTCCCGGTAGTGGTTACATCGGGGGTGGAGGAGGAGGAGGAATCATTAGTGGAGGTGGAGGAGGTAGTTACATTGGGGGCGGAGGAGGAGGTGGATACATAGGAGGCGGAGGAGGAGGTGGATACATAGGAGGCGGAGGAGGAGGTGGATACATAGGAGGCGGAGTTATCGGAAGTGGAAGCGGTGGTATCGGGGGTGGAAGTGGTATTGGAGGAGGCATAGGAGGCGGTATTGGAGGAAGTGGTGGAATTGGAGGCGGTATCGGAGGAGGTGGAGGAATCGGAGGTGGTATTGGAGTAGGTGGCGGAATCGGAGGCGGTATTGGAGGAGGTGGTGGAATTGGAGGAGGTATTGGAGGAGGTGGTGGTGCAGGAGGCGGTGGCGTTCTGGTGCAAAAACACATTTATGTTCACGTCGCACCTCCAGAACCAGAAGAATTGAGACCACAAAGACCTATATCCCTTGGTCAAGGTACCAAGCACTACAAAATCATATTCATCAAGGCCCCATCTGCACCTGCTCCAACTGCGCCGTCCTTTGCCCTTGGCGGCCAAAGCGAAGAGAAGACCTTGGTCTATGTATTGGTCAAGAAACCTGACGACGCAGCAGATATATCTGTACCAACAGCAGCTCCTACTGCACCTTCTAAACCCGAAGTCTACTTCATCCGTTACAAGGCCAAGAGTGAAGCTGTTGGAGGAGGCACTGGATTCGATGGAGCTGTATTCTTTATATTTTTTTTTATTTTGCTGAAATTAATAGTCTGTGTTCAAATGGAAGAAGTACTTAAAAAAATATTTTTCAATGAATCACAGTAGTATCGATCACATCAATAGTTTTCAGTTCGCGATTCTACTTCTCATAAAGTGATTTCTTCACTACAGTTGGGGCCATGAAGGAATACACATTTCTCATCAGTGAAATACACGATAAAACGCCAACTATTATATATTATTTGTTTTTTCTACAAGTGAAAAATAATGATAAACCAATTTTTGTTTGCGTTCAATCAGAGAGAACTCTTTTTTGAGTGAAACCTTACACTCAGTACATCGAAGATAGATAACTATACAAACGTAAGTCGTCAGCAATTTCTCAGGTTTTTTGTACCAATCGATGATGTATTAATATCGTTTGACCACCAATGTTGTTATTTGACAAATTCCACTATACTTTCTTGTATACTACACAAATAGTTGTTTTTACTAATAATATATTGTAGGCATTTAGTGTTTCACAATAAATACATTTTATATTGTGAATATTACTGGAATTTCATCCCAACACTAAACCTTTATTTTCAACACCTCCACACAAGTTATCATCTTCAAGAGAAGTTTAATCTTCCTCTTGAAGATGACCACTTGGTGATCGAAACACGTGTCGAGATGTTAAAAATAACGGTTTGGTATGCTGCAATGGGGACTGGATATTCTTATGCCGCACCTGGTTGGAATATTCAGTGCCTCTCTAGCTCTGAAGTACGAGTAGTATTTATACCCAAACCAGATAGGATGGACTACATCTTACCAAAAGCATTCCGACAAATTAGTCTCACATCGTTCTTTTTAAAAACTATAGAGAGGCTATGTGACCGGTACATAAAAGATGAGGCACTAGTTCACAACTTACTTCATCCAAATCAGCATACATATACCCAGGGAAGCCTACTGATTCGGCCCTTCACCATGTGGTTGGCAGAATCGAGAGATCATTGGACAATAAAGAATCCTCCCTGGGTATATTTATAGATTACGAGGGAGCGTTTGATAAAACAACCTTTCCAACAATTATCCAGCAACTAGGAATGTACCCCTGGCAGTGGGAGAATGGATACTCAAGATGCTGTCTAGTAAAGCGATAAGTATCAATGTAGAAGACATCACAGCGAGAGGACTGGTCATGAGGGGATGTCCACAGAGAGGGGTCTTATCATTCCTTCTCTGGAGCATAGTTCTGGATACACTGATTAATCACCTGGATTCTACACAATTGCGTATGCAGATGACGTATTTATTTTGCAGATCGGCAAATTTGTGAACACACTGTGCGATAGAGCGCAGGATGGGCTCAAATTGATAGAAATATGGTGTTAGGAACACTCACTGTCGATCAATCCCAAGAAGACTGAGATGGTAATTTTCACCAGGAAAGTAAGTTTATCGGGCTTAAAATCTCCCGAAATCTTCAAAAGCAAACTAAACTTCTCTGAAGAGGTGAAATACCTTGGTACTATCCTTAGAACAACACCAACTGCGTCAATGGAATTAATTACTGGTCTGACCCCTCTGGACCTGTATGTTAAGGAGGTTGTGTTAATGGCCATGTTACGATTGTGCATGGCTGGTGTAAACCTCGAAGTAGGAATGGGTCAATTGAGGCTGAGCCTATGGCGAGAAGCGCTTACTGCACAAGCTCTACTGCAGGCAACCGGTGATGCAATTGAACCCAGGTTTGTGTTTAATAAACTCTACAAAATATAAATAAAACAGAACACTCAGTTAGATGCTACAGACAGACGGCAAATATACAGACGGCTAAAAAACCAAAGAAGGCTCAGGATGTAGAGTGTACTTCAGATCACTGAGCCAAAGGATTGAGTGGGGAATAGAAAAAACCAGCGTGTTCCAAACAGAACTGGCTGGTATCTCAATCGCCACAAAAGAAATAACCAGGATAGGAATATCTGCAATGATAGCAGACAAGCCCTATTAGCCTTTAATAGACAACGTGTTACCTCAGGGCTAGTACCAGAGTGCCACCAAGATTTAGCCAAAGCCTCGGTAGATAATAACATTATTATCCTGAGGTGGGTTGAAGGGCACTACAGGAGTAAATCTAATCACATTGCCGACGCTTTAGCCAAGGAAGCGGCTGGACTAAGAATCTGGGGATGACCAGGAAAAATCTATGCTCAATAGAAGGATTTCTGACTGGCCACTGTCAACTAAGGGACTTCCTTATTTAACACAATATGGGGCTAGTGGACACACCTCAATGCAGGATGTGTAAACAGGAAGATGAAACTGCCTGTCCTATGCGAATGTCCGGAGTTATCGTCAATAAAAGAGTGTGTGTTCGGCGAGTCTTGGCCTACACCTGCCGATATAAAGGAGATGTCTCCCAGAGACCTGTCAACCTTCCTGGAAAGGACAGGATGGACGATGACCTAGGAGGACAACTTCTCGGGAGGATATGAAATGGGTCACATGTGGCCTAAGTGCTGTGGGTCTATACTCCCCCTCTCCTCTCTACAGATACAGACAGAATAACGGTTTGGTGTTGGAATAAAACTCCAGTAATATTCATTACTATACCAAAGGTTCTAAACAGTGCATCACAATTTTTATATTGTGAATTATAAGTTTCTAATGTTTCACAAACAGTGAATCAATAGACAAATAGGTCACACTTATATACAGTGTGACCTATTTGAAAACGAGACACCTCCTTGAAATATGCATCTTTTCTCCGATTTCAAAGAACTTCATTTTGAATTGTAGAGCTCAAAAAATTGTACTTCAGGACCAAATATCATTTTCTTTCTACCGAAATTTTTATAGGTTAAAATACAACAAATCACCACTGGGTACCCTCTCAAATGGCGGTATTCCAAATTTCATAAAAAAATTCAATATCAATAATTCTGTATCCGTTACAAGGCCAAGAGTGAAGCTGTTGGAGGAGGCACTGGATTCGATGGAGCTGGTAATATCGGAGGAGGCACTGGATTCGATGGAGCTGGCAGACCTGGTAACATTGGAGGTGGCACTGGATTCGACGGAGCTGGCAAACCTTCTATTAATATCGGAGGAGGCACAGGATTCGATGGAGCTGGCAGACCTTCTACTCAGTATGGTCCTCCGGGAAAAAGCGGTCCATACTAAACAATCTCCGTTACCTGAACCAAATGTGATCATTGGGCATTCCGAGTGTTACAGTCGTTCGTATTTTTTTTAACTCGTCATAAATTTTTGAGTATGAATACTCATCGTCTCTTATCTTTCGAAGGTCCCGTTGAGATGGAATATGCATTGAGTTAATTTTGAAAAAGACTTTTTCGGAGACTGGTTTGTGACTGATTTCATAAGTTCGAATACTGATATAAGGAGTGCCCTTTTTGGTATCCAAAGTTACCACATTGTAAATAACTGACTATTGTTGTTTATTATTGCTGCTGTCAAAAACTGTATTGAAACAGTAACGTCGGATTATGCCCGATTAGCAAGAAAAATAATTTGTAAGTCGGTAGGACTTAATGATTTATCATGATAGACCTAAGTGTGCGAGATAAAATTGAACTTGTGCGCCTTATCGGACGTAATGCTCTTTCGGCAAGAGAAGCTGCCAGAGAATTTTATAACAGACATCCTGTTAAACTTCCAGTGCAGTACGGCGGAGCGTATAAATTCTGTTCTCAACGAAAGAAGTTGTATATTGAGGCATATGCCCAAAAACAGGAACAATCAACATCGTGAGAATTCAAGCTTATGAACGGTTAGTTTGAACTTGAATTTCCTTAGAGAAAATATCAGGAGATGCCTTGTAAAAAATAAAATTAAACCATTCATGCCAAAAATTTTACACACTCTGGAACTGAGAGATGAAGAAAGAAGGTTGGAATTCTGTTCGTGGGCTCCAGGAGAATATTTGAATTATATAAACTCCAAACTCAAAGTCCACGGCCTCCCTGTTCGGGGGAAGTACAATGACGATTTGGGATGCACCTCCTATGGAGGTGTCTTTACGGGTCTTTACGTCAGGTTGATACAGCTCCTCCCGAGTCTACTTCACTACACCAAACGAATAGAGTAAGATCTGTTGGAGTTTATGCTGATACTTGCCGCGGAGATAGTTCTTCATTGCTGTTACCTCTTGGGAGTGAGGGTTTTGTTCCACTCCGAGGTAAGTAAACGCCTCTCCGGCATCCAGATGGTGCAGAATGCTTTTATCCACGAGCTGCACACCCTGTGCATACCGTTGCACATCTGTCCAGAATTCCATACCGATATCATGCGTGTACTCTTCCACCACCCTCAAGGACTGAACGAGATCCTTCCCTACAGAGGCATAAAGTTGAAGATCATCCATATAAAACAAATGGGTGATATTGTGCCTCCGGTTTCCGGGGGTGCCACAGTTATACCTTCGAGTATTTTTGAGCGCAGATGATAATGGCAATAGTGAGATGCAGGAGAGGAGGCTACTGAGGGAATCGCCCTGAAATACATTCCTTCTGAAAGTGACCCACCCTGTTGGGACTCTAGACCTGACCAGTATTCTGGTGAAACGAGACCGCCAGAGTGGTATAAGCTATTCAAGGCACCTCACTATTTTCTTGGGTACCTACATTATGATTTTTTTTTATTCTGGTGTGCATGAAGACATTTACTTCCAGCTTTTGATATATCCTTTCCTAAACAGTATCAAAAAATTAAACAAAATCAAAACTCAAGTAGACACAAACCATGATTACTAAGGATATCGTTGAAGAAGGTATATTACTCAGAGATATTTATAATTTGAACAAGAGCCAAACCAATGTACATCTATTGGGTCAATATAAGCAACTCTTAAAAAATCATAGACAAAAAATTGTGCTCTCAAAAAGTCAATACTTTAATAATCAATTNGTGACAAGTTCTGGTCCGATGAAGCTGCTTACAGCAACTTCCTTCGCAGTAGCGTCAGTAGCCTCATTGCTCGGTAGGAGCCAAGAGCTTCTTCCAACGCAGCTTGATTGTGCAAGAATATTTTTATTGACTGGTGTATGAGTTTGGATTCTTCCAATCTCTCCGCAAACAATTCAATAGCGTAAATTTCCGCTTGAAATACAGTCGCAGAGGTTCCTAGATAGATTGATATCTCTGTCCTCGGTCTGCTACTGATCCATCTGTGAACATCCATCTGTGATCCAGATGTGAACATCTGCTCTTAATATTTCCTTCTCCCGGGGGATCCAGTCCTCTCTACTCGGCAACAGTACTTTTTAAGGCAGTTCGTAGTTGACAGTTGGAGGCATAAAATCAGAGGTTATTTTCAGAATGCTGTGACTTCCAGTGTCAACCAACGGTCTGTTGCACTCTGCATTAAATTGATTTCTGCAATTGGCAATGTGTGCAATTCTATATGCTCTAGCCTCTCTCTCCAGAAAAATGTGGAAAGGAGGTAAATCTAGAAGTATCTAGATGGCCGCTGACGGTGTGGTACTGATGGCACCACTGATGGCCAGGAAAGCTTGTCTCTGTAAGCCAGAGAGCTTCGGTTGGACCGTTTTCTGTAAAACCTTCGACCACCAAGAAGTGGTCTGACAATCACCACATAAATCCAATGAATTTGTTTGGGGCCTAAACCCCAAGTTTTACCAAAAATCCTTCGACATGAACACGCAAAACACTTCTAACTTTTATGCCCCTCACCAACAAATTGAACATGTTGAACAGCTGAAACTCTGACGATATGTTCGAAACGAGTAGACCAAAATGAAAAATAAAAAAGTCGCTAATCGAATATATGTAGCCCGCGAAATTTGAACATTCATCTTATTTTTTTAACAGACCTTGTATAGTGAAACACGTGTTGCGGTTTTGTAAACTGTTCAATGAAACACGTATTGCGTTTCTGTAAACTGTCGAATGAAAATGAAGTGCTACTTGAATATTTTCAAATGTTGTTACCGGTAATCAGAATTTAGGATGAGCTAATGATCAGTGTGGGTCAAAAATGCCGTGTGTTCCAATTCCGTGAAAAAAAAACAGTTTTTTTAAAATTCAAAATTGGCTCTATACATCAATGTAACTTTTATCAAGAGCCACAGCGCTGCTGTAGCTTTTTATAAAGTCAGTAGTCCATGGGAGCCAAATCTGGCGAATATGGTATATGCGGGAGCAATTTGAAACCCATTTCATGCAATTTTTCCACCGACTTCATTGATTTGTGACACTGTGCAATGTCTCGATGAAGCAGCACTTTCTTTTTCTTCAAATGTCGTCGTTTTTCCGCAATTTCGGTCTGCAAACGCTTCAATAACGCTATATAATATTCACTGATGATAGTATTTTCCTTCTCAAGATAGTCGATGAATATTACAGTACGCACATCTCAAGTAACTGAGGCCATAACCCTTCCAGCCGATTGTTGTGCTTTCGTGCGCTTTGGACGAGATTCACCAGTTGCTTTCCACTCAGATGACGATCGTTTTGATTCTGGAGTGAAGTGATGTATACATGCTTCATCCATTGTCACTTATCGACGAATAAATTCCGGTTTGTTATGTTTAAACATGGCCAAACACCGCTCAGAATCATCAAGACGTTTTTGTTCGACAGTGAGCTCGCTCGGCATCCGCTTTGAACAGAGCTTTCTCATGTTAATGCTGTTACATTTGTAGTCTATAAACCAACGTTCAATTGTCGTTTCTGATGGAGCGGAGTTCTTTTAACACTTTTCAAGCCATTGTTTCACTTCAACGGTATTTTTTAATCAAGAAGCAGTATAAAATTAAAACACGTTTTGATCCATTGTTTCAAAAATAACAAAATTAGTATCATTCTTAGCACAATAACTCACGAATTTATGAGTAGAATATCATGAAATTTCAACAGCTTCATTTTGAAGGTTAGTACTAACAGAAAAAGTGGTGAATGCAATAAAACTAGAGCCATCTTTGTGTTAGGCCCGAGACTTTTTAGCCTGTGTAGTGAATTATATGAATGAATTAAAAAGGGATATCAAATACGATACTGATAACTCATCTCTTTTTCAGATACATTAGGTCTATCGATGTCTGTGTCTATTATTTTTTAATCACCTAGTATATATTGATAAGCGGGTAGTTCATGAATCTACGTATGTATAACAAAGAAAAAAAAACAAAGGCTATAAATTCCGAAGTAAATACTAAAAATATAATAATAATAATAATAATAATGGTCTTTATTGGGTGAAATACAATATACATCCAAAAGGCGAAGTTCAAAACTGCAGTGTAGAACACTACAGGTTTGTTCTACCACTTAACCTCCACAGCCAGCTACGAGAACTGGCAACAAAAAAAAACAAAAACTAACAAAAAAAAAAAAAAAATAGAAAAAGTAATACATTATACATCTGATATCAATCAGCATTCCAATAACAACAAAGAAAAAAAATATATACATATGGATAAACTATTGAGTATTTAAGTTTGTTTACCTAGTAGTTTAGTTTTCAATTTTTGCCTGAGAATACCTATTTTGAAATGTTTTAAATGAGGGGGAAGTTTATTGTAAACGATGCATATCTGATACGTAAATGATCGTTTGAAAAATTAATGAGTGTGTATCGGAGGAGTTAATAACCTTTTTTTATGCCTTACATTCAAGTTGCGTACGCCAGTCCGAAAAGTAATTTTATTATATAGATAGGTCGGAATTTAATTGCAGATAACCTTATGATAGAAACACGCTGAGTGTAACGACCTTCGGTTATCCATATTGAGCCAACAAGTTTCTGACAGCTTTGATGAGATTCTGTTCCTTCTACGTACCCCATGAATAAGGCGAAGGCGGGAGTTTTGAATCTTTTGGAGTCTTTTCTTGTTTCTAATTGTGAGGCTTGGTCCATGGAGTACATCTACATAGTTCAAAGATGAAAGAACGAGACTGTCACATAGAGTAATGTTTGTGTTTTTAGGGAGGAATTTTCGATTTCCGTAAATCAGCTTGAGTGAGAGGTAAGCTTTCTGGATTATAGTCACCGTTTCTGTCTATAGTCACTCCAAGATTTTTTGCTTCCTTCACAATTTCCAATACATTAGAACCTATACTAATATTGAGTTGTTGTTTTACCACATCTCTGTGATTTTTTGGACCGAATGTCAGTAATTTCGACTTAGATGTATTATTGA